CGCCTTTTTTTTTTTTTTTTTTTTGGCAAACTGAAGACAAACATCACAACCTACTACAAGGATAACCCTCCCTTACATCAGAGGTGTTTCAGAGTCTACCAACAGACCATTGCAACATTTAGAATAACTTAAGTGTACTAGCCAACAAAATCCAGGCAAAATACTCTGTGGAAATCCAAAGATCCATTACCAAAATAAAACAAAACTGGGATAATAACATGCAAAGATTGAACACCAGTACATAGGACAAACAAGCAGCATACTAGCAGAATGTATCCATGAACCCCAAAGTCAAAAAGTCAAAAGACACAATGTTACATCACTAATTTCTCTCCACAACCTAGGACGTAACTTCAAGTGGGAAATTCTAGACACTTTAGAATGAGCCTGACTGGAAAATGCAAGAGCTCTTAGAAACAAGGCATGATCAAGAGACATATAGACTTAAATCCTATCTATGATCCTATCAAAAGATATATCCAAAGACTATCTTTGGATATGTCTCTTTGATAGGATCATAGATAACTGTTACCCACAGAACTCCCCCATGCATGTAACTGACTATATATACATATACATATATATATTTATTTTCCCCCTTGCCAACCAACAAACCTAACTTCCCCACATCTCCACTGATGATGCAATCTAGTATGGTAATGGAATATTTGAAGCCCCAAAAGCTAGCTCAGAAAATTCTAACAACACAACATTCTTTATATTCCTACATTGGATCCTGTAAGTAAGAACGTTTTCCTGGGTATATCACTGTTCTAGTCTGACCCAATATAATGTTTATTGGCTTTGGACTCACAGAGTGACTTGAAAAACTCTTAAGCTCAATCTTCATTTACTGACTTACTGGCTTGCAATCTTGACTCTCCTTGAACCTTGATTTTGATCATATTTTATCTTATTAAACATGACTGCCCTGCCAGTCACTGAGAGAAGCTCACTCAAGATTCCTCCTTTGGTTGAGTTGAAAGGAATATGGAGTGGGAGGCAGGCATTTTCCATAATAGCCCCCAGTTTATGGAACATGCTGGACCATCCCTACTTATGTTTTGGGAGGCCCTTTTATTTTTAGCAGGCCTTTAGCCCTTAGAGTGCATTGTGGGTGGCCAATTATGTTATATGAATATAGTTGGGTTTTTAATGTTGTGTACACTGTCCAGAGTCTTTTAGATAGGGCAATACATAAATACTGTAAAATAAATGAGCAAGCGAGCCTGCACATTGACTAATTTTGAATGTATTTGAGGGAAATGTGTAATATTTGCTCTCCATGAGAACCTGGATGTTATTCTGTTTTTGTTTAATTCTTGGTTTGTTGTTCACTGCCCAGAGCCTTAATTGATTCATCTAATTTACAGTTATTGTAAAATAAATAAAAAGTCCCTTCTCCCAATTAAATACTTTCAACACCACTCACATTTTCTGTGTAGTAGTCTATAATTATGCTGCAAAGTAAAATACAATTTATTAGAATAATTAGAGTAGTTCAGAAGTTAATTTCATAGAAACTAGCAGTTTTAATTAGCATGTCTCTTTTGTTTACTTAATGCTTTGTTATATGTACTCTTTAATATATTTGATCAGTTGGCCATGTTTTTGGCTGAAGTATAATCAATACTAAAGTAGGGGTCTTTTCATATCAAAATAGTCAGATTGCTATCCAGAATTACATTCCATATGTACTGTAAAGAGCAACTTTTAAGAAAGAAGTGTCAATTCCGTTAGCAGTTCATCTCTGCGAATCAACCAAGCTATGTTTTATTTTCTCCTGAACTGAAATAGAAACTTAAGATATTTGCCTGTCACTTGGAAAATTGTGACTTTGTACTATATTTTTATATTGGTAGCTTTTTCATAAAACTATGTTACAGTGCAGTTTGAGAGTTCATTGGTGTGGAGAGGGAGTTACTTTTAGGAAAATTCAAAATCGTTTTGATGGTCTGTGCATCTGACTCATAGTATATATCAGAAGGCATAGATTGAAAGTATGTAGCTATTCGGATCTGTCTAGATGTTATATGCATATATGAGTTGGCTAATGTAGTGTATAAAACTGACCTAGGGTAATAAATTGGAGATTGAAATTTATATATGTTAACTTCTACTAAATAATGGTTATTCACTTCCATCTATGTCTTAGGGAAGCTTGGAAAGCATTGGGTGAGACAAGCCTGGAGCAGGCAATGCGAGAGTACATTGATACTGTGAAAAAATTGGACCCTACTTGGAATCCACAGGTATGTCAAACAAGTTACCTTTATAGATGTTAGTGATGAGGGACCTGTAGCCTCCAGAGGATGTTGGATTACAGCTCCAGTTATTCCTTACTGTTAGGCGTGTTGGGTGGGCTAGAAGTCCAATGACATCTGAAAAGTCATAGTTATCCTTCACTTCATGTACATGAATAAACTTATGGGGGCTTCTTAGTTTTGTAGGTCTATGAACATTGTGATATTTTAAAGAAGTGGGTTTTTAAAATATGTAATCTTAGGTTGTTATTGTTTCTCCAGTGTTATGCTTTGCTAACACATGTCAAAGCAGCTAGTTATTTGCCAGGCTGAATACAACATATCAACAATATACTGTGGTTTATCAATAAGATAAGAACGGATGCCTTATTTTTGTTACCTTGCAGAGACTTAAAAACCAAAAGGGTTTTATTACACCTAGAAGGTTGCAATATATACATTTCTATTTGACAGATTGCACTTTGAAAATTCTTGGCCTCATACTCACTTGCTTCAGGCTAGCTGAAGAATTATAGCCTTGGAAGTTAGGCAGTTAAGAAGTGCAACGTTAATTGGCTTTGATGAGTAATTCCTTGGAGGAATATCTTTGATTTATTTAGTGGTTGAATTTTAAAAGTTTCATTCATCAGCCATATATGTTCAAGAAAATTTAGGGAATTTGCAAGCAATAACTTATTTGTATTTGTCTCTCAGTTTACTAAAGTTCACTGCGTTAGGCATGATTAAGATTAAGTCTCCTAGGTTCTCTGCATTTGTTGTACTTTATGTTTTGTATATTGATATTGGTTGGAAACACTGAGGTTCCTTCAGGTACAGTGCTCAATCCCAGCTTTTCCCTTCCACCTTGCTAGGATCAAGAGGGCCCTGGAGTCATGCCTTGTGTGATTGAAGAGGGAAATGCGGACCTGAACTGCCTTAAGACAGTATATTTTGTATTGCCCATCTTAGGATTTTCTAACAATTATAGCAATATTATATATGAAATTAATTTATATCCCTCCGTATTCAAACTGAATACACAGAACTCTTCAAAGCTTTTTCTGAACATTTGACTTAAAGCATGAAGCAGGTGCTAGTTCTTTTCATTCATTTCTCTTCATGTCTTACTGAAGGAATCAAAGCCCTTCAATTTGGAGAACGGTGTGTGTGTCACAGACATAAGAGTTTTCCAAAAGGGGTGGGGGAAGCGTGATCATGCACAACTTCTTTCACCAGTGGGAGAAAAGCCCAGAATATTGTTTCTCACTAGAGCAGAAATTTCTGTGATCAGTAGAGCCCCTTTCCATCTGCACAAAGAATTCTCCCCTTCCCCTGCCTTCAGAAAAGTAAATTAATAGTAGAATGTGAAAAGTAGGTGTGGGCACATTTGAATTTGGGGGACTGCTTAAGATAATCTGTGCCATTTTGTTGTAATTTGGGCAATATGTTTGCATACTATTGTGTTCAAAGAACTTTGCATAATTGATAGTCTAAAGTCTGCAATATATTTAATCATCTTATTAAATTGGTAGTTCTTATGAGTTAAACTGTTATTAGTTAGTGTAATACTCCTTCATTACATTTTCTGCAGTTACAGATGAAATAATTTGACAATGATATATGTCTTAAGATTTATATTTCAGTGCTGACAACATTGAGTGTAGTTAATGGAACTTGGTAACCAGAGGCTATCTTTTTAAATGATTTCTTCTGATTTTTCAACTCTTGATTGTTAGCTAGTTCATCCAATTGCCACAAGAGGGAGCTCTGATTCTAATAGTGAACAAAAGTTAATTTATCCGGTAATGTGGTTTTTTCATAGCAAAGTACTTATTCAGACTGCTGAAAGGTTATATGGCCAACTAAATTGTATAAATGGAATATTACTTCCTTTCTTTTATTCATCTTTCTATTGAGGGCATACTTGCTCTTCTTTGATCAGGCCAAAGATCTTTTAGTCCAGTGTCTGATTTCCAAAGCAGCTAGCCATTTCCTGGAAGCTCATAAACAGGGTATGAAAATCGTAGTTTTTCCTTATTTATCCTCAGATTTGGAATTAAAGCAAGTATACATTGTTTTATCTTTATGTTCTTTAGTCTTAGCGCCTTGATGAATAAATTCCTTTATTCATCATTATTGATTATTGATTATTATTATTATCAATATTATTATATTGATGAATAAAATTCTTGATAAAGAAGGCTTATTCTCATTTCAGCAAGCTGTCTGTGTTTTAGGATGTTAGGCTGCTGAAGGTTACAGTGGTACCTCAGTTCGCGAACTGAATTCGTACCACGATTCTGGTCGCAAACTGAATTGGTCGTGAAGCGAATCAGATTTCCCCATAAGGCTCAATGTAAATAATGTTAATCCGTTCTGACCCCTATGAACGTGGTCGCCAACCGAATCAAATTTTCCCATAAGGTTCTATGTAAATAAAGTTAATCCATTCTGAACCATATGTTTTTTTTTTAACCATCTTTATTCTTCAAAATAGTCAAGATTGTTGACTTCACCATCTTGTACTCCGAGGCCAGATCAGTCACACGAATACCACGCTCATGCTTTTCTACAATTTCCTTCTTCAATTCAGTGGTTATTTTCTTCAAAACCTATTTATCCTCAGATTTGGAATTAAAGCAAGTATACATTGTTTTATCTTTATGTTCTTTAGTCATTTATCCTCAGATTTGGAATTAAAGCAAGTATACATTGTTTTATCTTTATGTTCTTTAGTCTCTTCTTACCATTCTTGCTCTGCACTTTCTTGTTACCTTCATTATTGCTCTGCACATTCTTGTCACCTTCATTACCATTCTGCATGTTCTTGTCACCTTCATTACTGCTCTGCACTTTCTTTTTACCACCATGCTTGCTCTGCACTTTCTTTGGAGCCATGCTGGATATACTGTATGTGCTAAAAAGCACACCAAAAAGCTTCACAGCAAGTGTCTGTCTGTGACCGCGATCTTGCCTAGAGGAAGCCACGACCACGTGTCAGAGCAAGGAAGATGGCCGCAGGTTGTGTTCATCACCCGATGCGGAGTTCGCGAATGGAAGCAAAAATTTGCGAATGCTGCTGTTCGCGAACCAAATTGTTCGTGAACAGAAGGTATTACTGTAATTTTATTTCTTTGTGGTGTCTTGTTGTAAATACTTATCCCAGTTCCCCAGATTTCAAAAATCTGATATTAGTTTTACAGAGATAGATTACATCTTTAGATTATTTCTTCACAGCACTTGCTTTCTATTTAAAAATACATTGATAGCTGTTCTGCATTTGATAGTTTTGTGAATAATTTTCTGTTTTTATGCATTTTTTAAGTGCCTCTAGTCCTAGGGAACAAATATGTGACATTCTGCTTGCATCTAAGGTAAAGAGAATGCTGAAAGTAGCCAGTGTGCTCCTAAAAAAAAAAAAAGCAGGCTTGAAAAATAATAAAGTGGTCACCAAAACTTACCTACTTCAGGTATGAAATAGGTCTAGGATATATATTTGTTCTTGGAAAATATTTCCTTTATAAAATACCCTCCAGAGGGCAGTGCTAACCAGCCAGCTGTTGGAAAGAATGAAGAGCTAATGTCTCTTACTGTTGAAATGTTTTACATTTGACAGATAAATCATTTCATAATTCGCTTGCACTTCAGGTGTAATACAGAAGAAAAGCAGTTTCTTTACCATCTACATGACTTTCCTTATGAATAACACTGATAAACTATGTAGCATTTTATAGCAGTGTGTGAGACATGTTCACAGAGCACAGGAGTTCTCAAATATTTTGGTCTCAGGACCCCTTTACATTCTTAAAAATGATTGAGGATGCCAAAAAGCTGTGGTTTATATGGGTTATATCTATCGATATTTACTGTATTAGAAATTAAAACTGAGAAATTTTAAAATTTATTTGACTCCACAGACCCTCTGAAAGGTCTCGGGGACCCCCAGGAGTCTCCGGGCCACACTTTAAGAGCCACTGATGTAGCAAATAGAATGGACCCAATTTACTTAATGGCTCACAGTGTTTCCCAGCTAAATATCTAGATCCAAGATATCATAATAGTCTTCATTTCAACATCTCTGCTGCTTCAGAAAAGCCTTAAAAGTAGTTTCACTAGCACAAATTATGTTGTTGTCATGGAGTTAGCAGTTCCTTCTCTTTACAAAGGAAAAAAATTCTCATTAGTTCTATCCTTTGAATTTACTTTGAAAAATAATATAACTTATTAAACCATAATCAACCCAGTTTAAATTGAAAATTATGGATGATATTCCAGTTTCTCCCAAATATTTATTTATTTATTAAATTTCTCCCCTGGCCATCTCCCCACAATGGGGAACTCTGGGCGACTCACACAAAACATTAAAACCATAAATATATATAAATACATAAAA